TCCCTTTGAGTGTTTCAAATCGCCAAAATACTGAACAATTGGTGCTGAGACTAGAATAGCTTTGACCGAGTTGTGGGAACTATTGGCACTGGAAGGTCTGTGGACATTCGCCAACAAGTGTTAGTTGCGAGGAAAGGGGATGGGCTGTTCCTGGGAGAAGTGGACTGATTATCCTTTGACTGCTGTCTTCTTCTCCCTCCTTCGCCAAGGATCTTCCACTTGATTTGCTAATTCGCTTGCATATTGGATGGAAGGCAATGTGCCAATGCCTGAAGGGGAGCAGGAAGGTCTCTTCCACAAATCTGCGGCTGTCGGCACAAATGGGAAGTTAATGCACATATCCGCGTTCCAACCAACACGTTATTTGATAGGCATTGAGATGTTGCACTCGGATGTGGTGAGCACTATTGTGCGTGTTTTTGTCCATCACCTTGGCTGATGCTCTCGGGGAGGTGCCACTCTGTTTGGACAAGTGCGTTTAGCCCGGACTGGGTTACACTAAATCCACGCAGACTTCTTACAACACGTGGGGGGAGATGTGGTCCTACATGTGGCCAAAAGTGGACTGGGGGAGAAGAGCAGCAAAGCGCATTGCAGTTACAGCTAGTGGCGACTTGCTAGCGGTTGTGGTGGAAGCAGGACGATACCTGCTCCACATCTCGGAGACAGCTGCATGTGTGCATGTGTGTGTGTTGGGAGTGGGAATGAAACCAGGATGGACTGAATCGAGAGCAGTCATGCCAAATGCTTCACCAACACGCGTCACTTCTACAAGGATGTATCGTCTTCCTGCATGACCGTCACTTCCGTCACTGCCAATAATCGCTGTGGCCATCCCTTGGTTCTGTTGGGACGCCGAATGACCTTCAGCTTGAGTGTTTCCAAGTGTTTACATACAACTCAATCTGGAGGTCTGACAACTAGTTAATGGGTTTGGGCTGTTATCGTGCTTGGGAATTGGCAGCACCTAATGATTTTTCGAAGGCGATGGACGGTAAGTTGGACTACGTGGCGCAGGTTCCTGTACGTGGATAAGGTGATTTAGCCTTGGCTGTAACAATCCCGTTATATCTCTTTTTTACCCACTGTATTTCCTTATTGGAGACGTTGTCAGGTGCCGATATTTGAAGATAAGGGGTGAAGATTCCTGACCAATTGTGTAATGAGGATGAAAGACTCTTCTGGAATTCGTTCAGCCTGGCATTTGTTAGAACCTGTTTTTCACATCATACGCTCCAGCTCTAGCTTCGTCATCCAGTGCAACCAACAAGAAACAAATTTTACATTTGTTAGGGGATGGAATAATGGCAGCAAGGATTGATGTTACACCGTGATACCTCAATCGTACTACAGCCTTGCCTGGTCAGAGCTGTCCCATTGTTCTTTAGAACACTGACAAATAAGTACTTGGCTAGGTTGTGTTCGGGTTACTGACTTGTAGATACAAGGTTGTTTGTGCCATTATGACCGACTTAATAAATTCCAAAACCATGATTTTTTGTTTGAACGCATCCCTAAACGACGTGTGTATATTCGGTACCCAATTACAATGTGGCCTTATTTACTATCGAGAATGCACTTGAGGTAACTGGTGTGGGGTCGCCGCTGCTGTTTCTCTTCCTAAACGGTGAGTTGCCTCCTATTCGTGTAGCCTGACTTTCGACATAAACGCACGCGCTTGGTTGTGCTTGCTGTGGTGCAGGGTGGGAACTGCGTACAATTGAAAGCCACTGGGCAATAATTTTTTTTGATGGCTTCCGCAATCTGAACTGACGATAGTGTGATTTGGTCCACTATGAACATACAAGTTATGATTTGAAGAATGAGCTTAACGGTCTTGGGGGATGATCTGAGCAGCATCTTTTTCCCATTTTGCCACTTTGCATTGTAGAGACGAAAAAAATCATGACGGCGCAGAGCAATTCCACAGTGAAGTACCTCCATGATCTCTCGAGGCAAATCGAGAAGTTTTTTGAGGATAATCGTCAGACACCTGGAAAATATAAGGGGAAGGTTGAATTTAAAAATAATCTCTACTCTGCTGCTTCTTCATCCTTTCGAAGTGAGTTTGAGCTAGGTTAGCCTGTTAATGTTTTATGGGCACCTGTTTCTTTTACTCCATGTAGTGGTCATAAATGCACCTTTTGATGTAAGATTGCTACTTAGCGACATCCCGCTCATTATTAAGTCTTCATGGTGCCGCGTGCGTGTCGGTTAATGCAAGAAAGACGAGTTGGTTTCTGAATTGTATCCATTCAGTCATCAATCGTCCATGCTTTCAGAGTCCATCTCTCTCGTTGCGTGATTGACCAGTTATGCGAATTGCTTACGGGGTGACAAACCAAACGGTTTGCCAATGGTGATAATTAAGCGTTTCTACATATATTCATGGATCTGTTCGTTGTGAACCTTCAATTGACAGTTCACTTGTTCTCTCTAGTATTCCTTGCTGTAATAGTAGATTCACCAATCCCCATACCTAAGCATCCTGTATGCATACACCCATCCATTCATCTATCCATTCCGTACCTATGTCTCCATTTCACTGCTCATTGTCTACATATTCGTCGCCTGGAGTTGCAATGTCTTCCCCTCCACTACGTTAATTTTCTGTTCAATTCTCTCCATTGTGTAGACTCGAAGATGTTTATTGTGGGTTCCTCAGCCAATGGATTTGGATGGGAGAGAAGCGATGTTGATTTGTGTCTCGTAATTGCGCCAGAGGAGGTGGAGAGCAAGGGAGGTGACGAGGCGTTGCTGCAGCAACTCAGTCCTCTTCTAAGCAAAAAGTGTAAGTCTCAGATGCTCCAGACGTGTGAATTGTTGCTCATAAAACATGTTCCTTGTGTGCCATTGCAGTGACGATTGGGTGTGCAGCAGGACAGTTGGGAAGGCGGGCAAGAGCTGAGAGGGTGGTAGTAGAAGTAATCGAAAAGGCACAGCTTTAATTTTTGCTTCCTTTCTGTGTTTCTTTCCAGGTTCCCTTGCAAAGTGTGAGCCGATTCCCGCTAGAGTGCCAATTCTTAAGTTGCGTGACCAACGGTCGGATTTTGAGTGCGATTTAAACGTCAACAATGTGGTGGGCATTTACAACACCCACCTCCTTGCCATGTATGCTCGAGGTGAGGCTGTTTTTATTTTTCTTTGTTGGAATCTCTCTTTGCATAGTGTTGAAGCACAAATAGATCCAGGTGGAATAGAAAAAGGGGTAGCTGTGTTG